AATCCACCACCGATGACGGAGGCGAATCCTGAAGCCATACCATACCACCGTCACTTAGGGTGGAGGACAGAACATAGCAAACCACCAAGTTTCCCAAGGATCAATACCTGCTACAGTGGTCAGTCCAATTGCAAGGCCAACGTTCGGATCTGCCCATACCATTGAGGAAGAATGCCAAACGCTGTAAACAACACTTTTGGGCGTAACTCAACAAGCCCGTGGCCTCTTCACAGCCCAGGAAACCTTTCCCTGGTGTAATACTTGGGGGTTACAAACCTCCTACAAATTACCGTATAATGAGCCTGTGCTGGGAATCGAACTTGGGACCTCCAGTGAAATTCGTTTAGCGGAGTACAAAGAACATCAGACTGAGATCTTTAGCGGTTGACGCTGTTAGCATTGCCGGAGTGTGCGGTGAACTAACTCAGACGCTACGGCAGCCGGGGTCGGTCCTGGCCACCTCCTGATAAGCTTACACCGTGATGACAGCGTATGAGAACAAGCAGTGGGCCTTTTAGTGCATGGACCCGTTGTTGTTTGCAGTGCACGGAGTGTGAAGCACCACAACAAATGTTACTTCGCGTTGGGCGTGCATGATTGATGATTATTGGGCAACAACTACAACAATTTCATAGTAGGAAGGCGAGCGAACTATCAATAGATTCCTTCGCACTCAGACATATTATGCATTTAAAGACGAGGAAAGACGGGAAGAGTTGTCGGGAGGATCGAATTCTGAGCAATGGTGGTGGCGCGCTAGTAGCGCGCGAATCCTCAGGATGGAAGTACACTAAGTACTCGGAATGATCGGCGAGCGTGCTCCGCTCCCCCGACATGAATGAAGTCCACGCATTAGCAATGGAATCGAAAGATGCTACATCCGAGATAAACGTCGGCAATAGGAAGAACACTACAAGGCGACTCTGCGAGCGTCGAGGAGATGCACTCACTATTTGGGACACTGGGCCTGTTTCACAAGGATACTTAATTTAAGGCGCCTTAAATATAGGAGCAACTTAAGGAGTTACTTAAGGTATACTTAAGAAGTACTCAACTCATTTCACAACGTTTAGGAGCAACTTAAGGAGCTCCTTAACTCAAGGCGTACTTAAGTATCTACTTAACCATGGTTACAGGTATAGAATAGAGTTACATATTTAGTTTTGTGGTGTAAATGCTTCAGCGGTTAGGTTGTTCGTTTACCACACGAGCGGCGCAGGTACAGATCTGAGGTATGCTGTTTCTATGGTCGTTTACTGTTTCGCAACTACTTTCCTCGATCATGGGTAAAGTATCAATGGTAAGTTACCATTGGTAACGAGCTGCAAGGGGATTTCCCACGAATTACAATGTTAGCTAGAATAAGTCAGTCAACGGTCCGCTAAGTAGAAAATATACTCATGTGAACTCAACGGTGACGCAAATCACTGGAATATCACTAAGTCGCTGCAACTATCGGCGAACGTAGCTCTTGCGAAGAGCGTTCCCGACACCATCCACTGGAGCATCTGGGTCAATCAGAGTTATTCGGGATGACTGTGATTGACCCAGATCCTCATTTCCTGTTCACAAGCAGCAAACATTGCCTCCTCGACGTTTTGCAGTGGCTGATCCTTAAAGGTGACCATATTGTGAAGTTCGGTTCGGTTTTTGCTGCGTGAAGGAAATGAACTCTTGCCTCGATTTCTTTGCCTTTCTGGACAAGTGGGAGAGCACCGTGCTGCCATTCGTAAGGTCTCCGGTACGACCCCTGCGCGATGCAATATCTAAGGATCGTCCTTCGAAGAGTCCCGGGTTCAACTCCTGGGGGCTGCAATATTCAAACACGGTACTTAAGTATCTGTTTAGGTAGGGTCGGCTCTACCTTAATAAAATTTAAGGAATACTCAAGTTGCTCCTTAAGTACGCATGTTGTGAAATGCTTCTCGTAAATACTTAAGTATATGCACGGAAACTTAAGGCGCCTTAAGTATTCCTAAACTTAAGGCGCCTTAACGTGCTTACTTAAGTAGTGAAATAGGATGTCCTAATTACTTAAGGTATACTTAAGGCGTTACTTAAGTTTAAGGCGCAATTTGCTCCTATGAAACAGGCGGTCCCTCCTGAAAACAGTGAATCCTGAAAAGGGTGAAGGGCGAGTGAATCCGTTGTAGGGACTTTTTCTCCCACTAAAGCGGGTGAAAGCCTGAAAATAGTGAACAACAAACTCGCCCGCACCGGTATCCTAAATATCAGTAATTTTTCTACCACTCCTTCCCGAACCGATTCAACTTTCAATGATCACTCTCTCTCCGGTTGATTAATGTTTGAGTAGTCAGCTTGCTCACAGCAACCGTAGCGATGCGGACCACTGAGGACCGGGGCGCATATTATATAGATTGTCATCTTTTTCACGCCTAGTTCTTCGTTTCGCGTCTTGAAGCGACTTTTCAAAAGTAGGAGCAACACGAACGGTCTAGTAATAGCTTTCGAGTCACCCTATGCCATGGTTGTGGACAGGAAGTAGTACTTCCGAAGTACTGAATGGTGCTCTTTCTTCGGGCTTCGGGATCCGGAAATCCGTGTCGTCTCCAGTCCACTTTTGATCAAATATTTTGTCTTCTGTTCCACTGTTCCATTACGAGGGAGTGAGTTTTCAATCCGTTAGCATATTGCTGAAATACGCGATTGCCATAAGCAAAGCGTTTGAGTCCATAGTAGTGACTATAGAACAAGTATGGGAACCTTGTTGATGAACAATCCTGGCAGTACCACAAGGATAAACAGTAATGCATGAGGCAACAGGTCCTAATGCCTGTTCCTCTTGAACGTGAACAAATACAACTTCTATACTGACCTCTGGATAGGATTGTATTACAACTCGTGGGCCCGGAGTAACTGCTAAAGAGGCGTGCCAGCTGAGTTAGGCAAGCTTACTGGCCCTAGCTGGTCAATACCTCAAGTTGA